AAACTTATAGGTCAACAATCAAGATAATGCTGCCTATAGCATTATAGACATTTTGGTTAGCTCCCTTTGTTAATTGCATTGCCAATGTTAGACGTTAGACGAATAACATGTGATCACTCACTTGATGTGTAAGCAAATAATATCAGTTGAAGTAAACAGAAAGATAAAAAGAATGCTGAAATTGATACATTTTGTTACTACTAGCACAAATTTATGCAACGACAGTTATAATCATCATCGATCTTCCTCTATTACTTATGGAAGTGGATCAACATCAGTTTCTTCAAAACCACTCATTAAGTACTATAGGAAGTATCCATAATCAGTGAAAAATGGGCAAGTTGATGTGTCAGATAACAGGATTGACAGCTATGTAAGGATGTTCTATAAGCACCTGACACATAACACACTTGGTGCAGTTTCAGGACGGATAATATGTAATATAAGGAACAGATAGCATAATATATTTATTTTGGATAGATATAGATTGTATATGGAACTGTTCTTCCAATTAATGCATTTGGAATTACCTGCCGTGTGACCCCCAATGTTTGCATAGCGAGACTTGATGCTGGACCAACATTGGGTGACGGAGGACGGGCTACATATGATTTCTTCCGGGTATTCTCTTCATCTGCTCAAATGAAAATTGACAGTGAGAAGCCATGAGTCTAACACACCATTACAGAAAGAGAAAGCGAACATGGAAACCTTCACATACCTAACAAGTTGAACGCGGCAGATGCTTTTTCAGAAACTTTTGCTTCCTCAGGACTGCAAATGTAAAGAAAGATCAGTTTTCTACAACCTCTACAAATTATTTGAGAATATTATCCATAGAAAATGATAGTAATCTCCTTTTCAAAGCTTTAAGATTAATAGCACCACTAACCTCATAAAAGTACGTGAATTCCCTTTCAATGTCGATTTGGTTTCTGTTGCCAGATGCCATGAGAGAGTTTTCGCAGCAGGAGTACCTAATTTAGGAAATATTATAAGAACAACGAGATACAATGCCAAAGAGAATACGAGAACGAGTGAGTATCATCAAGAAGTCAGGCCACCTGAAGGATAAAGGCGGGGTCTTGCTTGTAAATGTTGCCTTGAATCCATCTTAACTTGAGGGCTGAAGTGCACCTTCTTTCCAGCAGAATCTAATCGTGCATCAATCATGAGAGAGAGAGAGAGAGAGAGAGAGAAGCGTGCAAGTCAGCAAAAAAGATGAGGACACAACCGCAGAGAACAGATAGAGCTTTAACAGAAATGCAATAAGGATTAAAAAGTAGTCGTACTTGGCAAAATATAATGCTTGTGATGCCTTGGGATGATGGCTAATAGCTGTTGCTGCCTGAGGCCTTCTTTCTCAGTGTATGTTTTGCATGTCAGAAGTCGCTGAAATAAAAAAAGCTAAGTTCCGTTCTATCCTGTTTAATTCTCAAATAGACAATTTGTATTAGGGAAAGTTCCAGACGTTACCTGATCAAGACAAGTGACCTTTAGCTCCAAGGTTGTGACATCCAATGTTTGTTGCTCAAGCAAATCGGTTAACTTATAAGCAACAGTTCCCAGGTGGTCGACAGCATTGACAAGAGCTCTTACAGCATAGTCTTTCAGGTTATCAAGAACCCTGAAAAAGAGAAGTATTAGAGTATGAGCATGAAGTAGCAAGGAAAGAACACAGCATGATCAAAAATAAAAGTTACCAGCATTTTCGAGTTGCCCTAAGCTAGGAAAGATTCTTGCTGAGAAGGCAAAAAGAGCCCATACAGCCAAGGATCAAAGAGCCTATGCACATAATTTGTTTCTACCTACTTTTGCTATGACTTCTGTAATACCAAGGAGAAGCATGAAAAATTGATTGGAAATATTATGTTCATGGGAAAACTCTTACATTTGTTTCTGCTCGTTTTGAAGATAAGACTTTTCACAATATTCTGCAGCAGAATAGAGTTGCGGCCTCAAGTTCTTGAGCTCCTGAGACATGAGACATGAGACAGGCAACACGTGATCATTGAGTTAGAACAAAGTTCTTGCAAAGGTTGACAAATGGTTAATATGGAAACAGCCTCTAGCAAAAAATGCAAGGTAAGTCTGCGTACAATTGACCCAATGTGATCCGGCCCTTTCGTGAACCCAATGCATAGCATGAGCTTAGTGCATCGGGCTAACCTATATTATGACTACCAATCAATCACTTATCAGAATATCAATATCAATCAACCAAAAAGTCCTCAATCCTAAAAAAAATTAAATTGGTTTGCCAGTTTTATGAACCCATTCTATCTATTTAAGCCTTTCAACATGTCCCAATGAATTCAAAAGATGACCATAGCGGTAGGAAATACTAGCCATCAACCTACCACAACCCTCATCTTTTAGCCCAACTATGGACCAGCTAAGCTTTGCGAAATGGTTATAGCTAAAAGTCTCTACACATAATACATACAAGTAACTAAACAGCGACAACACCCTGAATCAGATTTAAGGTAATCTGAACTTGTAAAGAGTATCCTCCATCAACTAAGCTATCAACAACTTATTTTATGGTTTTTTTTTTTTTGCACCACAGACGAAAATTTACATTGCAAAGTCAACAGTTATTATTTAAATAGATAAAATATTCAAAGCTACAACACAACTAATATCATCCTAGCAATCACTGAACAAAAACCAGATCTGACATCAAATTTAGCAAAAGAGATTGAAAAAGAAGTAGCGTAAACCTGTAATGCCTTAACGAAACTCTTGCTTCGCTCCATTGACACTTCATCAAACGTCATCGCCGGAGAATTTCCAAACTTCAATTGTTCTACTTCCATAACTCCTCTCTTCCAAAAATCGCACAAATTCTCCAAAAAAAAAAAAATCCTTCCAGATCAGTAGATCAACAAATCATACGGATATACATTTTATATTTAAAAAAAAGTTGTAGTTACAGAATTAATAATTGTCTGGAGATGGATTAGGAGTTAAGAAAAGGAGGGTTCCGGTAGGGCACGGCGGTGGAAGGTGGTGGTAGGAGAATTTATGAGGAGTGTGTGTGTGAGTGAAGCAATCCCGGGAATTGTTTATTATTGCTGGAATTTTGAAGGAGTTAATTGCAAGTGAAAATGACGTCGTATTTATTGTAGGCAGATAAGAAAGTGGTTCAACTGATACTGTGCTGCTCCTCCCACATTGACATTGACCTCAATTTCAAATAAATAAATTAAAATAAAAATATATCATCACTATCTTTTTCACCAAACTAATAATTAAATAATAAGTACTACAAATATTAATTATGAAGGTTTAATTATGCAATTTAATATAATTAGTACTACTTGATAATCGATACTCTTTCGTCTACTTTTCACTTGCTTAAATTTGACTTGACATATTCTAATATTTAAAAATAAAAATGAAACAGATATCAAATATTAATTATTCTCTTGATTTTTTAAGTTGAAAAAATAAAGCTTTACGATTATTTTTATAGTCAACTAAGTAAGTAAAAATAGACGAAGAAAGCACCAGTTGACCGAAAAGTGTTGTAGTTATTTATGTGCTAGTAACTATTACTCCAATATAAGTTATAATGGTTTTGTTTTATTGCTTGAGACGGTGATAGTTATTATACATTTGCTTTGATAATAAGTTTATGCGCGCCAACATTGATCCATATGAAATTAGTAGGATCCAATAATTAAATTCTTGTTGGGAATCAAGAGAAAGAAAGAGCCTCGAGTCCGGAAAAGCAATAAAAATAGTTTCTCTCACTTTATTCGAATTGAATTTATTATTTGAAGCTCTTAAATAATTAATTTAAAATATTTCTATAAAACACTTTTCATATGATTTTAGATAGGTTTAATTTTTTTTTTCCTATGGATTTTCTTGGTCTTTGCCTCTATGTATTTCACATTTCATGGTATTTTAAGATGAATGAATAAATGGAATATTATAATTTATGAGGTGAAGAGGAATATGTCGTTTTCGTCTTTAGAGCACCTCCACATGGCTAACATGCCCATATAAGCTACTTACTGAATTATCATTAGCACCCTTATAGTTTATGGGAACATTAAAACCACCCCAACATTCAACTAACCTTCTTCACATTTAATACACCTAAAAAATTCAATTATTAATCACTCTGAATGTAACATTGAATGCAATGTAATTTGACTGACTCAACCATGTTAAACCATTTCTTTTTTTAATTATTCACTATACTATACTCAAGTGTAGGATTTATCTACATTCATATTTTTAAAGTAATTTTGAGTGTAAATTATGTTTTATATTAAGCTCTAAATCATAAGGTCATTAATGGTTTAGGATTTTGACATTTTTTTGCTCTTTGTATAGCTTTTTAGACTTCCGTAGCACCAAAGAAATTACAACCAGTTTTTTGGTCAAGCCTCAATGCTTTGATGTTAAGAATGGTACCTAACCTTTTTTCTCCTTATGTAAACAATCATGCTACGCAATTCCATTTATTGTTTGAGCTAGTTACACAAATACTGTATTATATTTTTTTCCCACACAAACCTCGTATAGAGGATCAATAGTATTATCACTTACCCTCAAGCATATGACTCGAATTTTCAATTTATGGTTGGTGAATGAAATATTCAAACACTTGAGCAAGCCTCATTAAATAACTACCTTACATTCGGTAATCAAACATCGAGATTATTCCAAAAGTAAATAATTTAGCACCAAGATTAACCATACAGAAATATTTATCTTTTACTTTTAATTTGACTCTTATGAACAGAGTTGATTTCTTGTTATGAACAGAATTATGAAGTGCATATAAGTTGAAACTTGCAAATGCAGGGCTCTACATCTGCCAGTAAATTGTTAGGTGTCTCTGATCTAAGTTGGGATGTCCAAATATGGCTTAACATTGAAGGGAACCCAGGAGGATGGGGCGTCAAATTCAGTCATTCCTAGTTTAAAATGGCTGGAAAGAGAAGACATGTAGTATGTAATTGGCAGGGATGGAGTACTACTTCACAAAATGCAGCGCTAACACTCGGACGCGAAAGCAACCACGTGGTATGCTATATACTATACACATATTTACAACATTCTGAGTCGAGTTTACAAAACACAAGCCTGTAGCTGTAGCTCAAATGAAGCATACAGTAGAGAGAATTCTGGAAGAAAGTAAAAAAAGAAAAAGAAAAAGAGAGCTCCACATATGTTCTTCTGCCTGCAGGTGTATATTAGTACATATCTACTTGTATTTACGGATTATTCGATTTGGGAATCTAGAGCGAAAAAATACACCAAATCTTTTGGGCACTTCACTTGCTATGTTTGGTGGTCCGATTGTTTCTCCTCATTTCTCTTTATGGAGGCTAGAATTGAGCCCAGGTGCCGCCTCAGCCATGATAATTTCATTACTGGAGCAATGTTTCTCCAGGTAGGGTAAGAGATTTCAAAGAAAGTAGGCTTTGGTGTTGAGGCACCGCCAATGTATTCAATTAACTCCTGCACAGCAAGTACATGGAATTTTGGAGGTGCATTCAGGGCAATGTTGTGAACCCGGTGCTCATAAATCTTCCCATCTTTATCAAGCTTATACTCTGAAGTACCATCAAACCGACCATGGCTCTCCCATGGAACACGCGGAATGCCATGAACAGTCCACCGAACTATTATCATATTTTCCACTGGCTGCCAAACACTAACAATGTCAATCCACAAGGTCCTAAATAACATCCTGCCATGGAATCGTAGCGCCCAGAAGATTGATTTATAATTATCAATGCCAGTAAATGTGTTGATTGGATCTTTGAAGACAATATCATCCCTGTAGGGCGCGAAAGACCACCATTAGCACCTCAAAAGTTATTTCACTGAAGTCACAATTGGGTACAATGTCATCACACTTGCATTAATTCACAACTAAATTAAGTGCACAATTACATGCATATGCAATTCATACAGCATTCAAGGAGGTGGAGCAAAATAATTAAGGGTAAAATTACCCGCACCGGGTGTTTGCACCAAACTAATAAATGCATAACATGTGTTTTCACACACTTCTATCACTTAACCATTGTCAATTAACACAAATTTACTGTACTATTTTTCCCTAAAACTGTTCCGACAGCCTCTAGATAATAATAATCTTAAGTTGTAATTACATCCTAATTATGTAACCTCTGAAGTCTGAAGTGAACTACTAGAAAGGGGCCTAGCCTGCCCACTGACTATCAACAACAATGAGAACAAATGCTCAACCCAAGCCAGTTGGATGCAAGTCAGTTTACAAGAAGAATATAGAACATGTGAAAGAGATCATTCTTTTGATACTCCAAGACCGAGGAAGTCTCTTCGTGGTTAATTGGATGGAAGCTAGACGTGTGAAACCACAATGGTTTGACAAAGCAGCTATTGCTCACCCGCCATGATCCAACAACATGAAAATTCAGCCAACACGACTAATTCCATTCCCCATAATCTCTAGGGAAAGGACTACCGTGATAGATGTTTGTTTGCAAATTTATGTTGGAAGAACACTTATTAGTCATGATCCAAATAGAATCAACAAGATCCCCCCTACAAAACTAAGGACATCCAAATGATTCAATTTATCAAATGTATATTGTTCCAAATGGCCCATACAATAAAAAACCCAGTTTAGGCAACCCAGTTTAGAAGTCAAAAGTCCTTAAGACTTCTGTAACTAAAGCAGTGATTTCAACTGCTACAATTACTGAAAGTGAACTACAGTATGCAGCAAATCACAATTAACTATCCCAAAGATCAAAATAGCATTTTCACCCACTAAGTCATTAGTCAATCCTGCAATCTAAAATCTTCAAACAAAATAAGGAAAGAACTATCAAAATGATAATCCACACAAACCATATGAATGCCTTAAAATGGAAAAAGTAACTGTTTACTTCTCCCCTCCTCATATAAATTCTTGTTTTCATAGGGAGCTTGAGTTTCAAAAGATATGTCTATTTCAGTATTCATTATTTGCCTATGCTCGATCTTGAAACTAGAAAGCTACAACTTGAACCAATAAGAAGAACTGTAAATTATGGTGCTACTTCTAAATAAAAAAAGTTATTTCTTTTCTTTTGCTTTGGCGACTTAAGGCTGCTGAACATTTTTGCGTCTACTATCTGCAAATGCTCCTCCATTGATAGTTGTCTAAGAGACTTGAGTCACTTCTCACTTGAATCTTAAAATATTGACATTTTCTAAATACCCTTGGACACTTTTTTCAGAGAGAAGTTTCTTTCCCTTGTTCCGATTCCTCAAACACTGTAACAGATCCCTTAATTGAAAAAGAAGGGGTAGATAATCTCACCATCCTTAAAGTTCTGTGGATACTTCCAAATAGTTTAATGATTCTTACTGCAATTCACCTAAATCTTAAAAAAAACCTCAAAATTTTCATTTCTCATCTCTAGAGTTATCGCTAGAACAAGACAACCAGATCAGCACCTGTATCAATCTACTGGCACGTCAAGACCGAACTAGTTAAGGTACCTTATATATCAATTCCACTCCATTCATGCCTATTTTGACTTCAATACACATATTACATCATAATTACACTATTTTTTTAATACAAATTGTCAACCTATTGACGTGAGAGTAGCTAAGGTTTGCGCAACAGAAAAATAAGTTGAGATTAGGTCAGAAAGCAGGGATATCTTTAAAAAGAAAGGTAACATCATTATCAACAATTCCTAATCACAACAACAATGGATGATTAAAATCTCAAACCTGTATATATCAAAGCTTAGCTCCTTATAGAAGAGGGAAGGAAACTCCTCTCGGATAGTCCGAATAGCATAACCCGTATTAAGATAGTAATTCCGCTTCTCCTCCTCCTCTTCCTCGTTCACTTCCGTCGACGACGTGCTAGTCTGCACATGCGCAGAGACCTGTGCGTAAAACCCCAAATTATTCTCTGAATTCAAAGACGGAAACTCCTCCAAATCCTTCACGTATGAATAAACCCTAACCCTAGCACCCCTAATTCCACATCTAGAAACAGTGAGCTTCTGAGCATTTCTAGGGTTTAAGTAAGAAGAAATCCTCAGAGGTAGGCGACCGGCGGGGAATGATGAAACTTCCAGCGATGGTAGAAAAGTGGCCATCGGAGATTAAATTTTCGAAGAATTTAGTTAAGATATTTTCCAATAGGATAACTGAAATATAATTGAAATAGTTATGGGATTGGATCCGGTACAAAATTTTCCTATTGGTGGATAAAGAAGATATTTTAGGAGTTAAAAGACTTTTTTTTTTCAACATAAATATCTTGAAAAAATGTCCACAAATATTAAGTACAGTTTTAAATGAAGTTAATTAGACTTTTAAATGGGTTTATGTTTTCTTCCTGAGCATACTTTGAGCCAGCTTTCTCATATGAATATTAAGTAATAAAAGCATAATATTTTGTGCCAAATAATAATAATAAAATTACAAAATTGTATTCGATATAAAATTTATAAGTTATATTCATATATGATTTCTTTTAGTTAAAAACTGCGTATAAATTATATTAAATGAGACTTTGAAATCACACTCACGTATGCGAATATCATTCAAAATATAATATTCTCTCACGAAAAAGAAAAACACACCCTTAGAAAATGACAAAATATAGTCCTATGTGTTAGTTAAGTAGCAATGAGATAGATTATGGAACTTAAAAGTCACAATCTTTAATTGGCAATGTATTTCCCTTTAGATACAATATAGCACATGAATAATTACACAAGCCATTATATTATATATGTATAGACTATAGTATATATACATCAGACATCACTCTTGATTGAAGAACTATAATTGGTCTGATCATCATAGTATTTTGACCACAGCATCACACCACCATACTTGGTAGAGTTTTTTATTGACGGAAGAACTTGAGAAATGAGATCATTAGCAGGGATGAATCCGCTTCCCGCGGCTGCAGGAGCTGCTGGCAATCCAAGGAAAATATTTGTGGCAGGGATATCTGCTGTCCATTGTTCCCATGCAGCTTCAAGATTGTTAAAATCACTAGAACTGTATTGACAAGGAGGGTTGTTATAGAATTGAACCCAAACATAGTCGAAAAGACCTGTTTTTAAGGCGTTTCCGATCCAAGCATCAGGGAATGGACACTGAGGGGCTGCTGTTAAGTAAACTTTCTTGCCCATACTGCTATAGGCAGAAAGAGACTTGGCAAGTACATCCCAGTAGAGATTGGTTCCTCCTTCAATATCGAAGTCTATTCCATCTAAAACAGCATCACCAAGTGGACGTGTTGTCGATTGTCCCCCCAAGAAGTTGTTCCAAAGATAATTGGCAACTTCCCTAGCATCATCAGCAGAAGCAAGATAGTAGCTCCCAGCACCGCCTCCAATTGACAGAATCACTTTAATTCCTTTGGCTTGGCAGGATTTTATATCTGTGCTTAATTTGGTACACTCGCCAACATTTGGATTACAATGACCAGATAGATCTATCATTGGTTGTTGACCATTTCCAAAGGTTGGCAAAAAAGCTATATTCACAAAGTCATAGTTCTTTGTGGCACAGGTTTCCGCCAGAGTTCCTTCACCTCCATTCTGACCCCAGTAAATAGCAATTCCACCAGCATCACAAGAAGCTGCTAGTACTAGAATCACTATGGAGAATAATGCAAGTGATCTATTGGGTTGGACTTCCATTCCTTGATGATTTTTGCTAAATATTGAAATGACTTCTATAGGAAAAACTTCAAAGCTGTTCTGCTTTAGAATTCTGGTAGATGAGCACTAGATCATTGCTTTTTATAGGATGGGAAATTTGCTTTCTCAGACTCCTACTTTGTGCTTATGCTAAGGAAGACGTGGCTTCACGGTTAAGTAGTTTTCAGTTTTATTCAAATTCTATGAATAATCGTTTATTTGTGCTTCTGGATTATTATGTTGTCTCTTTCCCCTTGTCTTTTCCCAGAGTTTTTTGATGTTTAAACAAAGACAAAGCTTTTCCTTCTACATAAAACTAGCCCACTTGATAAAACTACATTTAAGATTTTAAAATGAAGTCTTATAAACTAGGAAAGAAAACAATGAACCTTGTTCATTTTACCTCTTCCAAATACTAGCTCCTCAATGGAATGGACCAGTTGCTACAGCACTGAAAATAGTCCATAGGAAAACAGAATTATCTGTCTCTGGTCATAAGAAATATTACTTGGTTAGAAGTATAAAGTAACAATAATACTCATGACATGAATTGTTAAAGATGGTTAGGTGGTTTTGGTTGGGCAAACTAAACCTAGTTATGATTCTAGAGTTTTTGGTGGAAGTCTAAGTTAGAAGGATCATTAAACTGTAACTTGCTGCTAATAGACTTGCTTGAGTACAATTAAATAGGCATAGATAATAACTAATATCTTTAAACCAACGTCAAAATGGAGAAATAGACCGAAAGAGGGATATTAACTTGTCATGTAATTCTCTCAACTCATCATATGCAAGCCATAAACATCTATTTTTGTGTTAGTATAGTCAATGTCTTCCAATGAGACTCGGCTGAACTCACCAAAGAGAGGGATAAAGAAGAAGTTTGAGCGCTAAGGATGATAACTTACTGTAACATTTATCGCACAAAAACTGGTAAGAGATCTGGTAGATTGTACTGGTGCAGCTTCTGGAGTACGTTTACGTCAGTACATAACACGATGATGGAGCAATGTCAAAATTGTGGACTTCAAACAGTGATGATCGGTAAGAGGTCTGTCATTATGTTTGAGAACATGATGTCTTTCGAACTAAGTCATAGATGAATATTATTTGTTAGTATACTATAAGGCACGTCTTCCATCGTTCTATCTCAAATCAGAAGACGGTTGGTCTTAGTCATTAATGAACAATATAGGTTGAAGCATGAAAGCAAACATAATATATGGCTTATTGTAATGCTTTGCTTTTCCTCAGTACTTATAACTTATCCTGTCTATATATGAGATAACAACTAATGGATGTGCATCAATGCATCCATTTCATTAAGAATTTTAAACCCCTATATTGTCAATATGCTGTGGAATAGATATGAGAAATGAACCAATATAATCTATGGAAAAGGGTCAAAAATTCCCCTTACATATTGAAAATGGCTTACACTTTGCACTCATCCCATCTGTTGGACCCGAATCGCTCATTAAGTTAACTTTCAGGTTAAAAATGCTCCTCCTTCCACCTATTGGACCCTACTTGCCCTTAACGTTAATTTTTTTAGTTCAAAATGCCCCTCCACGTAACGGGATTATGAGATGGCACATGTGTGGCTTTAGATAAACATATGGCACTGATTTATTGATCCAGGTGGCCCCAACAATTAACAGCCCGACCCATCCGAGTTAACCCAAAACAACTATGAGAATTTCTTAAGTTATTTTACCTTTTGACTTTAGCTCCTGTCACATTAGAATGATATTCTTCTCTTTTCTGTCTACTTTTTTTTGTCATTTACATTGATGGATCATGAAGAGTGCAAAATCTTGAAGTGGCAATGTAATTTCCTTTAGATACATAAATTGAAGCATAATTACACAGGAGACAAGTGGCTATCATATTACATACTTGTATGTATATTAACACAACAAACTTCATCACAAATAAGGGCTGAGGTATAGCTCAAAACTTCACACATCACTCTTGATTGAAGAACTATAATTGGTCTGATCGTCATAATATTTTGACCACAACATTACACCACCATACTTGGAAGAGTTTTTTATTGATGGAAGAACTTGAGAAGTGAGGTCATCAGCAGGGATGAATCCACTGCCAGCAGCTGCAGGAGCAGCTGGCAAGCCAAGAAAAATCTTTTTGGCAGGGATATCTGCAGTCCACTGTTCCCATGCAGCTTCAAGATTGCTAATATCACTAGAACTGTATTGACATGGAGGGTTGTTGTAGAATTGAACCCAAACATAGTCGAAAAGGCCTGTTTTTAAGGCATTTCCAATCCAAGCATCAGGGAATGGACACTGAGGGGCTGCTGTTAAGTAAACTTTCTTGCCCATACTGCTATACGCAGAAAGAGACTTGGCAAGAACATCCCAGTAGAGATTGGTTCCTCCTTCAATATCAAAGTCTATTCCATCTAAAACAGCATCACCAAGTGGACGTGTTGTTGATTGTCCCCCCAAGAAGTTGTTCCAAAGATAAGTGGCAACTTCCCTAGCATCATCAGCTGAAGCAAGATAGTAGCTCCCAGCACCGCCTCCAATCGACAGAATCACTTTAATTCCTTTGGCTTGGCAGGATTTTATATCTGTGCTTAATTTGGTACACTCGCCAACATTTGGATTACAATGACCAGATAGATCTATCATTGGTTGTTGACCATTTCCAAAGGTTGGCAAAAAAGCTATATTCACAAAGTCATAGTTCTTTGTGGCACAGGTTTCCGCCAGAGTTCCTTCACCTCCATTCTGACCCCAGTAAATAGCAATTCCACCAGCATCACAAGAAGCTGCTAATATTAGAATTACTATAGAAAATAATGCAAGTGATCTATTAGATTGGAGTTCCATTCCTTGCTGATTTTGCTAAATTTTGAAATGACTTCTTTAGGAAAAACTATAAAGCTGTTCTGCTTTAGAGAGCATTAGATCATTGCTTTTTATAGGATGAAAATTTACTTACTCAGACTGCTACTTTGTGCTTATGCTAAGTAAAGCGTGGCTTCACAGTTAAGCAGCTAACAATTTTATTTAAATTAGAGGATTAATCTTTGGTTTGTGCTTCTGGATTTGCTAGTATGTTGTCTTTTACCCCTTGTCTTATCCCAAAGTCTTGCTGATGTTATAACAAAGGCAAAGTTTGTCCTTCTAAATAGAACTGTAGCTCACTTGAAAAACTTGATTTCACATTTTAAATGTTTAGTCTCATAAACTGAAAAATTTAAAAGGCCCATTATTAGCCTAGACTACTATGGAACTCATTCAAATTTCGGACATCCATTGTTATCATTAACTGTCTATAAACTAGGGACTGCAACAATTGTGCAGTTTTCTGGTGTTGACTCTCCAAAATTAAACTTCAAATGTTGAAACAGACTTAGAGGTTTGGCATAGCACAAGTGAGATAATTGTTGAGATATGAATTCTTGAATTGCATATTGAAAGAATTATATAATATGAAGAACGATTTTTTTCTAATCCTGTTCTACTAGTGGTTAGGACTGTCTTTTCATATCGAAGATGGGTTCAACACCATAAAGGAAAATTTAATCGCTCAGGCTACTTACAGGCAACATCTACTTGCTCGTTCAGACTTCACGGATAGTAAGTCTGAAATGGATTGTAGTAACTTAAGAAGCAACAGTAGTATTTTTACTGAACGAGCTGCTATATTGCTTCAGTAGCAGAAGTGTTTGTTTATATTTCTTGTTATTCACTTGTTCAATACAGCAGCAAATATAGGCTTGTTTTGGTATATGCATAAATCACTTATTCTCCTCAACTTACACTTCACCATTCTTGTGTTGATTATTGGGGCCTTCATTATGGTTCATAAGATAAACAACTTTCTTTTGTTTGGTCAGAATAGACAATTATGAATTCATATGATGGACAATGTCTGATTGAGATTGCTGATATTTGTCCTTGATATTGCCATATGTTGTTCTATTTTTACTAAACAAATTGGCACCTAACTAATAGGCAATTAGTCAGCAGACAAGTCCTGTCCCTTTGTTCAAACCAGTAGGGGACCTTTGTAAATCAGTTCCTATGTCAGTTTCTAGCCTTTGATTCTGCTTTTTTCTCCTAACAAACTAGGGACCCCAGTTCTGTCTGTTGTCTCTTCTTTTCTCTTTTTTCCTTCATTTCTCTTCCTTTTATAACAATTTCAAGATTCTTTTGGTTTTTAATACACTAATGTATATACTGGAAAAGATAAAATCATTACAACTCCAAAAATCTGAGTTTTTAACTGTTTAAAGCATCTTCATTTTATCCTACAAATGACAGGATTCCTCATCCTTAAATCTACCTGTATGAGTTCGTTCACATTGCCAGTCTCACGTCAGTATAAAGGAGTAGAATTGCTGAGTGTCAAATGTCAATCCAAAACAATCTTTAAGGTAGGGATAAGGCTGTGTATATCTTACCCTCCCCAGACCCAGACCCAACTTATGGAATTACACTGAGTTTATTGTTATTGACAAGATTCCTCTTTCAGGGTAATAAACACATTTTCTACTAGAATTAAACGGATCTTCTTATAGAAATAGAACAAAAAGTCATGATCTTCCAGCCAATAAAGACTCAGAAGATTGACTCAAGAACGAATTTTTGTACAACTCGGACCTAATGGGAACGAATAGACGGAACTTGTGAATGCAAAAGATTCTGCAATCAAGAATTGACTTTTTTTAACTCTGTATTATCAACCTTAACTAAGTTTTATAATAGTTTACCTATAGTTGCATTTGAAACCTTTTGGCTACATTCTGGGGTCATTATCTTTGGTCTTTAAAAAAAAAAATTCATTGCTTTTTTTTTTCTGCTTCATTGCTTTCTTTTGTCTATTTAACCCCTAACAGTCAAGAGACATATAATACTAATACTTTAAAACAATCATTTTTCTACTAGAAGCATGTAGGAAGCTACAATTTAGTTGTATAAAAAATGGCAAAGGGCCAAATAATATCACTATCTATAGCATGGCCAATGGCTTCAACATGTCTGCTAATACTTGCAATTTTTTTTTAATAATATCTCTTTTTCCATTTCCTGCAGAAAACGAGTATCATATGTCATCAAATTGGCCTTTAGTAAAATTTTAGTCAAAGAACCCTTTAATAAAATAATCTCAGAATATGAAGAATTAAATGTAAATAATACATTAATTTGAAATATTTCTTAAAGAACTTATAGATACAAAGTGGAGCTATTCTGGGGATTTTATTAAATGCTAAAATTCTTTGATTTAGGATCATGGATTAACAATTCTTTGCAGCTATGCATTTGTTGTTTTTTTAGCAAATATTAATATTGTATTTAGTTGGACGGCATGATAACATTAGGTGCTACATATATAGCCAAAAAAAAAAGAATTCAAAAGATGAAATAATTACGTAAATATGATGATTACTTTCATAAAACCAAAAAAAAAGAGAGGAATTGTCCTAATTAATTACTTGTTAATTTGATATGAATGCAACATGTGTTGCTGTTTGAATTTTTTTTTTAAATCTATGCAATATTGTATTTATGAAATTACTGTAAAACAAGCTCACGTGAGAGCCTCAATCCTCAGCCAAGCATTTTATTTTTATACAAATTTAACTTATATACATCATATTTTAATCTATCGTAGCGGGTAACCCGTAAACACTTTTATATAAACACCTCATTTCCCCTTTTCCTTTCTTCACTTCACATATTATATAGTACTATTCACCATGGAAAATTCCCAACCACCTCTTGCCACAGAGAGTTTTTCATATAGCTGGTTGTTGAGCAGAAAACCTTCCATTGATGGCCTAACAGAATCTCCTAGACCTTCTTATAGTGATGATGATCATGATAACGATGATGAAGAAGAAGATATGAAGTTTATCGCTTACTCGAAAAGATTCCTAGAAGAAGCTCAAAACTTCAATTTTGATGTCCATCCTGTTTCTGAATCTGTCCACGCTGATGAAATCTTCTCTCACGGACATATCATGCCTCGATATCTTGATAAATCAAAGATTGAATCTTTTCGCGAAGCCTTAAATAATTTCAATATAATTTCATCGGTACCTTCAAGTAGTAGTTTTCATCCCACACCGCGAGTTTCAGATTCTACAACTAGTACTCAAGCTGATGATTTTCTTAAGAAATGGAGGAGATTTTCGCGTAGAGTGTTGGTTAAATGGTTTGGATTCATCAGGCCAATTTCCAAAAGGATATCAAGTTCAAGAAAAAGTACAGCAAAAGTCGATGATCTTCAAAGAAAAGTAAGTGAAATTCAAAGCTGCAAAGCTACTGATTCTCCTCCTCATCGAATAATGAAATCTCATTCTGTTGTTGATTGGGCTGGCAATCGTAACGACCAAAGAAGTAGAGTTAAGACATTGAGAAAGGTGAAAAGCTGGAGCAGTATTAAGTCACCACAGGCTGCTTATAATTCCCCTGTAAAAACTCCATCCTATGATCATTCTGCCGCGGTTTCTGATGCAATTCTTCATTGTAAAAGATCATTTGGTATGGTAACAGAGCCTGATATTCAATCTTGATGATCATTTTGACAACAAGAAGCATTACTAGAGCTGTTTAATTTATCATAGATCACTCAGATTCACTATTTTGTACAATTCTGAGGTGAAAAAAAAACAAAACATATCTTAGTTATTAGGACTTATTTTGTGTAGACCATGTTAATAATACTTTTGTTTCTCTTATCTTAGTTTGTCATTTTGAAGTCAAAATTGAAGAATGGTGTTATAATTGAAATGAAAGAGTATGATTATACACTATTGTATACGTGTATTATACATTCATCGATTATTTTTAGTTTAAGCGGTTGAATAGACAGAATATTTATTTAGATTAATCCGGTGCGGGGATAAGGTTGTAAAATGTCATCATGACCCTCAGATGGTCTCATTTTTTTTTCTCTCTCTCTTTTTGTTCTTTACTGGAGATGGTCTGTGCCATTTTGTGGAGTAGCTGGGAGGGATTTTGATGAAAGGCCCACCACTACAAGTTAAAGAGTTTTATATTGGTTGAATTAATGGAGTATGATATCACATTTTGGCAATGCCTAATTTTTTTTAAAAAAATTCACAGTACCTCCATAAACATCAACTGATCTTTTGATTCATAGGGTGACATATGACAGACCTCATAAAGAGAAATTAAGAAATGTAACCCTGGTACATCAAGTCTAGATTGCTTCGCCATTGGTTCTACGATATTCATGATAAAAATTTACGTGTCCTTGATGTTTACACTAGCCTAATGAATATGTGACACATCTTTACTGACATTCTTACTTTAATTTACAACTTAATCATAGTAAATTAGTAGAATCTAATGTAATTAAGAGAAAATGACCAAAAAGGGCCCCTTATGCTTGAGAATAGATTCAATATGATCTCTCTTTCTTTAAATTTGCCAAAGAGGATACTTTTTTTTGTCTCCATCAGTTAACTTTGGTTATTAAATTTAACATAAAAAAGGTGATAAAAAGAAAGAAGGTTAATTAAAGCAATACAAAAAAAGTTCAGCAAGAATATAATTCTAGGTGGGAAAATTTGTGTGTTCACATTACTAAATTATCTGCATAACTATTCCATTTCTATAATAAAGTACTGAAAATAGACAAGAACAATTCACAATGCTCTCTGATGATTTCCTTTTTATAGTTAAACATTTATTTCCGTTCACTTCCGTTATCCTTTTCATAACTACTTGAATTCACTGCATTTAAGCTGGAAGTCTTTCGGAAATAATCTGTCTACCTCTTTGAAATAGGAGTAATTTCTCGTGTACTCTATCCTTCTAAGACTCCAAGACGTGGACTTGTTCCTAACTGTTTGGCTATCTAAAGTGTGACACTGAACCCAAGAAAGTCTACATAAGTGCTAAAACTTTCTTTAAAGAGAAAGCTAATTCTGCATTGAGACAGAAATCATGTTACAGTTGGTGAAGGAAACAAAGAAAGACACAAGAGGGTCCCCCATGAATGGCATTTGTTAGGAGAAAATCCAAGATTTTATCCCCATCACTTTTTTGTTTCCATGCAAAAATATTTGTTTTCTTATCCTTAACACATATATGTACAACTATGCACTCCTATCAAGAAGGGAAACACCACAAATTTGGCTCTTTTTTTATGGCATTTGAAATTTGAAAAAATAGAAAACATTGATTTTGCTTCTTTTGAGATTTTGAGGAGGGGACCAACGTAACGTCCTAAGCTACTTGTCCCCGCTAAATGTTTTAAGCATCCTAATATTCTTTATCTCAATTACCAACTCACTTTTAAGTGGTGCACCTTCAAACATGACTTTAATTCGTCTATCTTATGTACGTGGAGTAATTAAAACCCTTTACAAAAAATGGTGTTATATAAAAAATTAGTGAGTTTAATACGTAATCAAAAGATATTATCTTAAGATAGAGAGTATATATAATCTAGACAAATACTATGAGAGATAGAAGCAGGGTAAGGGGTGATCAAGACGAAGGACGTTGGAGAGTCAGGAACTACACAATCAATGTTGAAGAAGTTGTTTTCCGGAATTTATTTTTCTAAAGGATATGTTTTTCAAAATTTTGATAAACCGAACATAAAAAAAATAAGTGAAAACATTTTTCGGACCCTTTAAAATCTAAATAAACTATATTACTTTTTAGAAAGCATTTGGTTGGAATTCAATGTATCTACTTTATCAAAGTAATTCTGATTTGTGTAATTGCCATGTGCTTAATATGTTCCAGCAACATGAAAGTTGCTTTGGCCTTTTCTAAGTTGTAGGCAAAGCGGTTTCGTATACGTAAATTGTAATTAGTTATATAAGTGCATTTGTGCTCGTGTTACAAGTACGAGTCAATAAAGATTAGCAATAAGATAGTGTATTAGCAAAAATAATATATATATTAGCTTTGTGTATTAGTAGTCTCTTGTTTGGTACATTTTTAATTTAATGGTATGTTGCATTAGTCATACACTTTATTGTGTATTGAAGAATGTTAAAGTCGTACAGTATCAATATTTCATTTTATTTTTTATGCAAAGCCAACATGTTCATGTTGTACGACTTCAACAAAAAGTATATCTAGGTATTAATAATGCAAAGAGATTTAATATGTGCATTAGCATGGTTAAACACTAAATTACCCCTCAAAAGTATTTTTACATCTTTTCCATCATAATTGTGGAGCATATTTTTTTAAATAAATATTCTTATACGATGCATGCTATTTCTAATATATCAAACCAAATAATGCATAAAAAATAATCTATTCATTACTAATACAAGAATTACTATACACTCTACCAAACGACTTTTAATGGTCATGTCAGGATTTTCTCTGCAGACTTGTCATCTAGTGTTTATCAAAAAATAACTAAATTTTACATTGTAATTTTTGGAGGAGAGAAGTTTCAATTGACACCTTGAATAAGGGTGGATTCGAGTGTGTTTATAAAATATGCATTGATTTGATAACCTGTGTACCAAATCCCATTCAAGAACTAACTTAATATGCAGAAATCAAGAACCGTGTCTACTTGAAGTTTGTGCAATATAATTAACACCTACAATCTTTGTTTGTTGGTTTGTTATCTTAAGAACAACTAGGAATTAAGTAGGTAATATAACAGTAGCAAGAATTTGCAATGCATGTTTTTAGTCTGGTAATATCGATGATCAGTTAATTATTTTTTCGAAATTATGGGGACCAAAGACATTACTGTTTGTTGATGTGTTTAGTTGTCTGTTAGATTCATTGCATGAACAATAGTGAGAAAGGAATTGTTTTGTTAAAATGATGACAAAAACTAGAGGAAGGACTTGTAGGATTCTCAGTTGGGGACCAAATGACTCTTGTGCTAATATTTTGCTCAAAGTCACATCAAGTTCAATATTATGTAGTACAATTTAACATCTACAATGGGGGAAAAAACAGAGGCGTCAGCTTTTCAAATGTGTCGATTTGAAGCACAGAAACTGTTTGTCAAGTATCAGGAGAACAATGAAAATGAAGATGAAATCAACAGAACAATCTTCCTACAAGTGGGAGTTGGAGAAAATTATTAGTATCAAGAAATCAGTACGACTGTCAACGATAGAGTCACTTTTTAATAGTTATTAGTAGTTTACGATAAAAATACAATATAGCTTGAAAAAAATGATATAAAATATATATTGACTATACAATATAGCTTATATATGCATGAGGAGTTATACAATGACTATACATTATGACACTGTTACAGAAAATGAATATAGTTTAACTATACATGAAGTATAAGACTATTCAATCTTCGATTAACTCGAAATCACCTCTAGATTGTTCCAAACTTTAGATATGAATTTCTCTCAATATTTTGAATCTTTTAATATATATTTCGATGAGACTGATTTACACTTTGAGGAAGAACAAGGACGAAGATGGCGAAGGTCTATAAAAATCTGGCTATTTTTTTCCAATTAAAATGACCAAATGATTCTTTTGGGTAATTGTCACTTTTTGTTATTAAGAAATTAAAATTTAAAAAAAAAAGGACTTTTAGAAATAATAACGATGTAATTATGTAATTGTTAAAGAAAAGGATAAATGTAATCTCCTGTTAATCGAATGAACCAATATATTTAGATGATTGTTCAAAGCAAAAATGATTTTAATCTTTTGAGAATTTACATTTCAATATTGATAGACCTCCATTAGGGTAAATATTTATCCGTATTAAATATTCACATCCAATTTATTATCTGAACCTTAATCAATTAGTACTAAATAAGATAGAAATACATGTCACTCAGCTTTATTTAAATTCTGATGATGTATAATATTTTTGTACATTAGTGATCCATAAAACTTAAAATGTAGAAATATATGTATATAAAAAATATGCACATTATATTTATTTATCGAAAACTCGAACTAAACACTCGAGTGAGCTTTTACATCTCTATAATAACTGCTTATTATATGTTCCTGTCATTTTGCCATTTAGTCCAACACTTGAACAAATATCTAATTTTTAATTCGATTTTGGTCAAACAAGTAGAATATGAAAGAAGAACAATTAATAAGTAGAATAACACCTGAACAAATTGTTATAGCTCCCCTTTGCATCATTTATCGTAGAATGAGGTAAAGATCATTTTTGACATTTTAAAATTTCATCCAACTTTTAGCAATTGTTTTACCATTAAGGAATAGGGAAAATGCTTAAATTCCCCCTCTAAATTGCAGTTACACACTTTTACAATTGTGACGATCTATTACACACTTGAATAACTTAAAAGTGAATTTATTTCAATTCTGACACTCTGACGCACATAGACCAATCACATGATGAGAAAGTGTTTCACACTCGCGCCATGTCACTGCCACATCAATAATTACGTCAGATTAAAAAAAAAAGTCACCCGATATCTTCTTCTTTTCTATATACCATCAAATTCACCATTAAATTACTATCATTATTGCTATTGTCATCAAATTCACTTCTCCACCATCATAGATTTCACCACCCATAATCAAATTACCATTGGAATCTTCCCACAACCATTGTCCTCCTAAAAAATCGATAACAAACATCATAAATTTAACTAATTAACCATCGGAACCATATCACTATCATTGAAATTTATCACAATCATAATCATAATTTCATTATCCCCATCAAAATCGTGAATTTCATTGTCATAATTGAGATTAAAAGTCATACCACCACAAATTTTTCACCCACCATAAAAAATTTATCACAATATACAAATTTCATTCAAGCTCAAAAAAGAGAATTATGAAAAGTTGCAATTTTTTAATTGTAAAGATTTTAATGTATGCTTATAGATTAAGAAGGATCTATAAGCATACATTAAAATTTTGAATTTCGTGCAAAAATTCAAAAACTTTTTACACACACAAAAAAAAAAAGCAAGATCTGATTTTTTAAAAAAAAAAATTCATGTCAACTTCGAGGGTAGAATCAAATTCAATTTTGAGTAGTATAAGTGTGTAATAGATCGCCTCAATAATTTAAGCGTGTAACTGACTTTTCGATCCAAATTTTTGGATGAATTTATGTCTTTCCCTTAAGTAATATGGATTAAAAAGATAAAGAAGGTATGATTTCAAAATTCAAAAAGATTAAAGGGTACAAGTAGGATTTAATTAAAAAAATTAAGTAAATAAATAAATGGAAAAATGCTCAAATATGTTATCGAACTTTTAGAAAAGGCTCATTTATGTCACTTGTTAAAAGTTTGGCTCATCTATGCAATTACCGTTCAAGAAAAGACTCATTCATGCCATTATTTTTTAACAATGATTTTGTAAAACCATTTTTGACACGTGTCCAATTGTAATTCGGCCACGTCATCAACTTTTTTTCTTTTAAAAAGTTAAAATAAATGAATTCCATTTTTATTCTAAATTTTGATTTTTTTTATTTAAAATTTTATTTTTTAAATAAAAAAATCAAAAAAAATTAATTCAATTTTTTTTTTGGAATTATGATTTTTTAAAGTAAAAAATTTGATGACGTGACAAATTATAATTGGACACATGTAAAAAATGATTTTGCAAAACTATTGTTAAAAAATAATGGTATGAGCCTTTTCTTTAGTTATAATGGTATAAATGAGTCAAACTTTTAACTGATAGCATAAATAATTTTTTTTAAAAGTTCAATGAATTTTTGAACCTTTTCCCTAAATAAATTATACAAACACGGTATTTTAACTCCTAAACAATTTAATTTAGGATAACAAGTTTATCAAATCTCTTCCACTCTTTCCATCATTGTCACTTATATTTTACAAACCCATTTTATTTTTATAAAATTAGTAAAACAAAAAGAAAAAGTAAAATGGAAAAATTTGTCAGATTTGAACCCCAAAAAAGAATTGAGTAAAAAAACACAAGTTATATGGGAAAAAATAATATTAGAAGTGAAATTGAACCAAAAAGAAAATTAAAAAAAGGAGAAAATAATATTACAAGGGAAATTGAACAAAAAGAAAAATTTAAACAGGGAAAAAATAATATTAAAAGTGAAAATTGAACCAAAAAAAAAATAATGTCAGAAGTGGGATTTGAACCCACGCCCTCTTACGAAGACCAGAACTTGAGTCTGGCGCCTTAGACCACTCGGCCATCCTGACTTTGTTGTTTGTATTTCGATAAACATTGTATATAAATATGTTTTACGTTCGTCCTATTTATATTTTCACACCCCAAAATATAGAAGGCGCCAATCAATAACCAATTTTTGTTACCTGAAATCATCAATTTACATCTGCTAGGGTTTAACACTTCTGAGGGGAAGATGCAGGTATTTGAATTTAATTACACTGTGTGTTCAATTTTCTAACATTTTCAGCTGATTTTAATTTCTCGCAATCAATTTTTAGTACCCGATGAATCCACCGGGGCCACCACCATTCGGACGACCGTTACCTCCGCCATTACCGGCTTTTCCACCGGCGTCAAGTGCTTTCTGGAGTAGCTCCACCAATGTGGTTGATCACCTCAAAAACCTACACGACACCGTGAATCTGGCTACAGCTTTGTAAGTAACAGAAAGCTTAAAACTTTGAATGATGAAACACTATTATATACATTATTGAATGTGAATTTGTATGTGTTGTTCTTTAGATCTTTTTTGGGTTCTGAGAAGTCAGAAGGAGCTGGAAATGACCAGAAATAGAAAAGTTGTCGTTTATGTTTGGAATAGATCAAAAAGGAAATAGTGTTACATTAAACATAAATGAGGGAGTAACAACAACAACATACCTAGTGCAATCCTGTAAGTGGAGTTTGGGGAGGGTAGGATGTATGCAATAGAGGGAGTAATGAAGGTGAAAAGTATGGTGACAGTTCGGAAACGGGGCTAAAACTGTCTAGAAGCACCTATTATATGCATTGGTTGAATGCAAATTTGATTCACCAGGGTGGTGGGAAGATAGTAAGCGTCCCTCTACTCTTAACCTAAGTCTCGGAGTTTGAGCAAATGGAGAACCTGTCAGTGCACAAGGTGTTACCCTCTTAATCGGGTTTCCCTTATAAATAGGTATAGTCACATCAGTGGATTTTTTACATGGCAGATGCTTAAAGGAGGGGGAAAAGAATGCAACTTGATAGTGTTCGTGCTTAGGTCTTCTAGGTGTTTTACTTTGGATCATTTTGAGCGGTTAATTGGTAAACTTTTTCAAAAAAACTGGTTATATAGACTTGATAATGTTATTTGGGTGGAAGATAGGAAAGGAAATCCGATGAAGGTTCTGACAATGGGGCTAAAGTTTGATTCAGAAACACTATGATGTATGAATTGTTAATACTATTTGAAAGTGTCTGCATTTTGGTCTTCTAGGTTTTTGGTTTAGCAGGCAAAAAGAAATGGAATTTTTTAGCTAGGGTGGAAGACTAAAAAAATATGAGGGGTTTGGAAAATGGTTCTCGTAACAGCTTTATTGTGTAACTAAAGCTTAGAACTTCAAATCAGTAGTATATGCATTATTATATTTGAATATGATAGTTTATGTGCTCCTGTTTATTTTTTGGGTTTTTGAATTTTGAAATTTGTGCAGGAAGAAGGAGATGGAAATGTTAATTACATTGAAAAACAAGAAAGAAAATTCTGAGGAGGGTTCAGAAAATGGGGCTAGTGCTGGCTCTCTTGATAGTTTTGTGAAGTTTATGGAGCATTCTAAGATCAATATGGAAAGCCAAGAATTTTTGTCGTTGGAAGCGGCTAATGCTTTAATGTCAAAATTGAGAGCTCAGTTGGAACCTTTTAGAGTTATCACAGATGAGATGGCCCCATGGGAAGAAAAATCTGCAACTGTTGGATTAGCAAATAAAATGCACAAGTACAAAAGGAACAAACTTTGGCGAAAGAGGAAGAGGAAACACGTTGCAGAAAAACTAGCAAAGGTGCTATAAAACCATTTCACTGCATTCCCTTCTTTTGTGTCTTCTATATTTTTGGAATTTTAATCTCTAATGTTTTTGTGACTTTTTGTTATCCGTTTTAGCATTCTGATTCTGATGTCACACTTATCATTAGGAGCGAGAGCAATATGACCAAATTGATATGGAAGCTGATGAATGGAGGGCGAGAGAGATAGCCAAGGATATTGCAAAACGCAAGGTATTAATACTGAAACTGTATAGTACTAAGTACTGGTTTAGAATTTCCATCCTGTTATGGAAAAAGTAGAGGTTGCCCTCTGTGTTGGCTTGTACTGCCTGGGTTTGAACACTTGTGAAAACTTTTCAATCATTAGCCCAAAAATATTTAAGGAAAAAGAAATGAGAAAGAGAACAATCAATAGCCAGATTGAATGTTCTTAGACGACAAATTTATCCCTTAGATTTATGACATGTCTATTGTTTACCTTCATCTATTCTTTTTTCTTCTGTATTGCTCAGTAACTCATGTTGTATCTGCAGGTTGAAAAGATGAAGGAAATAGCAAAGCTGAAGGCAAAAGAGGAGAAAAAGAGACTAGAATCTGAGGTGAGGATGATGGTTTCTTATTCATGCAACTGGAGATGACTGTTGAAGTTCCCAAAGCTTTTTCACAACAATGTAGCAATTTCTTTAGGATTTTAGATACTAGTGAGAGTTTTGACATGGTGAGGCACCATATTTATCTTCCAGTTCAGTGTTTCATGTGGTTGAGTTTTGCTCCTGCTCCTCTTCCAGTAAACAAAGTCTGCCAGACATAACCCTTGGAGACAGATTTATATAGAAAGTATGCAGTGAGGGCACTTGCAAATCATTAGGTAACCTAGCTCGACCCAAGCAATGCCCAAAAGTCTCATGCCTTTCTTGGTCGGACCAACCTAACCGTCATCCCAAAAAGAAAAGAAAAAAAAGTTCCTTTCAATACCACAAGATATGTGAGTTTGGTTTATGGTTTATTTGAGATGACAACCAAATAATATAATATTGTATGCCCTTTATTTCTGGGTATATGATGTTGAGTCACTTCTATTTTTGCTTTCAGCTTGAGCTGGCATTGATAGTAGAGAAATTGCAAGAATTACGTTCCATCAGGGTTCAGAAATTGAAGAAGCAAGGTAAATATCCTAATGATGTTGTTATGTCTTTGTGTTTCCTTTAGTTTATCTAGCTTGTTTGATCCTTTTCCTATTGAATTTATTATTTTTACTCTGCTTCTAGTGGGACGCTTATATTTGTGGTTGAAAGCTGCACCTAAGTAAAAGCATGCAGTGTTCTGCTTGGATTGTTGAAATAGTATGTAATGAATGAGTTTTTTTATTCGTTAACTATGAGATGCTCAATAGGAAAATGAATTTGGTGAAAGAATCAGTAGTTTCCCCCTTGAGATTGTAATTTCTTTCTTAGTGCGGCGACCGCGTGTGGATCATTTGGCAGGTTCCTCTTCTGCTTCATGAGTTCTGTGGAGAATTTAACCCAAATATATGCAGTTGATGTGTCTTCAGCATGTACCTATTTTTATATGCTGATCTTTTAGCATCGATACTCAGAGAGTGAGTGTTACTGCTGTTTTTCTATAAACCTGTAAATATTTGGCTTTACGGGATGACAGAGTAGAAACCCTTGTGAAAGATACTTCCACTATCTTTTACCCTCAGTCTTGTCTATCCCCCTTTGGCCCCAAAGACATGCCTTCTTCAGTCTTAATTTCTAACATCTTGTTTATACTTAAATAGGTCACTTTCTCCCTGAGGAGGATGACAAGTTTCTAGAAAAAGTAAGAGCTGCAGTCGAGGAAGAAGAGCGACAGGCAAAGGCAGCTGCTGATACAGCTGCTGCTAAGGATGCAATTGCAACTGCTGAGGTATCCAGGAAAACAATCCAAAGTCAAAGACCAGAGCCTGGTGACCTGCATGCTAATACTGGTGACGATAAAATAAGTCCAGACCAAATGACTGTGGATAATGATAAATCAGGTCCTACACCTGTCAATGAGTTGGAAAAGGTTGGATCTAAAGGTCTAGGCTCAGCCAGCTTACATGATTCTGTGGCAAATCTACCAATGGAATTTTATCACTATTACTATGGCAGTAATCATGATTTGGGAACACTTATAGAGGTGAATTTGGCTATTGTCTTGTTAATTCTTTACTCTGCAGTAGATTTGCATTTCTCTATCATTTGTGATTGAAGACCCATTTTGTTCTTTCTATGTTAATTATGAGTTGTTTTTGCAAGAAGAAATGTCAAAGTTGATTATGCTCGACTTGAAACCTTTTCTTTCTTCTATGCAGGTAAGAAGAACATGGGATGCATACATCAGACCTGGAGGAAGGTAAATATATCCTGCTAAATCCTGCTAGTATCCCTTTTTGTTTAGTCCACAAAAGCAAAAGTTGTATTAATCTCATGATGCATTTGTTGGTCAGATGGACATCTAGTGTAGCTTCATTCATTAATAATCATTATTTCTCGATGCTTACATCAATCAGTCCTTAATTCCTTGTCAAAAAAAATATATCAATCACATTTTTAACTCTGTTATATTCTTGCCTAGATTTCATACCCTTGTTTCCACCACACCAGTTTTAAGATTTTGTCAGTTCACTTAAGCATGTGATTTAACATTTTTCACTCACAGCACTAAAAGAAATCATTTCAATGTCATAATCAAAGTATAGTAAGGATTTGTTCTTTGAATCGGCTGTGGTAATAGAATCCCAATGGGCAGTAATCCAGCTATAGGTCCAGTTTGATACAAATAGTTGTGATTGGCTCTCACTGCTTTTGAATTGTTGAAAGTATGCACCTTTTGCATCTAAAATGTGAAGTCATTTCTACTCGACCAACGATAAAGAAATGTTATTGTTATTTACCCTTTAGTGTCTTCTGCGTGAACTATGTTCTCCTTCTAATCATTATTCTCTTTGGAGTCACTTTCTTAAAACTAACAAAATGTAATTCTTTCCAATTTCTCATGACAAGTTGTGTCTGCATATGCCAAATAACAGGTATATCTAACACCCACCCTTTAATCTCTGTGTGTTGATGCAGTCGAATACCTGGGCACTGGGTCCAGCCACCACCTCCAGCAGATGCGATATGGGCATCCTACCTGGCAAAGCCTAAATGACATTTTATAGGTGGTTTCCTAGTGCCTAAGCATCGCCTTTGCAGATTGTCTCGTTTGCTGGTTATCCTACTAAATGATTTGTGATCTTTCAGCACCGCGCCTTTGATGCTTGTTGAGGACATCCGGACACGGAAAAAAAGGCTTGTGCCTAATTTCTCTCTCTCCCCATGATCAACAGAACTCCAAGGCAAACATGAGGGACTACCTTTGTCTGAAACAATGGTGATTTAAGTGCAATACAGTACAAGGAAGACATTGATAATTGCTAGGAGATCAGGCATGCCATTAAAATAGCAGGAGCTGATATTGTCATAGTAGCTACCCAGGGGCGATCCCACATGGGTTCAAGTAAATTTTTTTGTATTTGAACCCCCTCACTGACAAAGAGAAACTAATAGCCAAGCGGTTGAGTCCCCTTGAAATTAACCTCCATGTCGAGGGTTCAAATCCCTATGTTAGCATTTTTTTTAGTTTTTGATTTTATAAAACGTGCTAATAGTGTGGTTTTAAACCTAAAAAAAAATTCAAAGGGTCGGCCACTAAAACTATATACTACTTGGAATTTTGTTATGTTGCCTTATTTACATGTTTATACTTTTATTTTTGAACCTCCCGAATGAAAATCTTGAATCCGTAGCTACCATATATTAATGAATTAGTGTCTCGCAAGTCTCACACTCGTTAGTATCAAGCTTTTGTTAATGTGTATCGCACCCTTTGGGGACGAAGCTAGATATAAGGGGGTTCAAATAAATTTCCTTAGTCAAAAAAGTATATTATGCAAATATGATCAGAATGAATTTATTTGGTTATATACAAACAGTTAAATCCCTTTGACTCAAGTACAAATTTTACGGTTCTTTGATGTCAAATTTTACGGTTCTTTGGTAGGATGTATAAGAATAATGCTAACTAAAGTATATTAGTAATGTTTTGCATTAATTTACATAAATCATTAATGTTTTGGTATATTAAAAATAGCACGCTTTGTATCACAAATATTTGTTTATAAAGATACCTTTCACAATTATATACGATGGAAAATATGTTATTAAAAAGAGATTTTGAGGGACACGGGGATTTATCTTTAACCATGCTCATGCTAATGTATGTATGCATAAAACCGCTTGCATTACCAATACCATGGATTTTCATATATTAGTAATACGAAAGCATCAGTTATACCGTTGAAAATTTGAAGTCCAGGCATATACTATTGCCTTGACATACACCAAATGACTTGCTATATTGCTTTAGCTCATAAGCTCAAATCTGAACTGTGGAAATTAATATAGATTTTTTAATCTTTTAGTATATACATTTCTGGCTCTGGAGCTTTGACATTGAGACTGTTTTTAATTATACGTGATATTAGCAGAGTACATTTGTACATGTTCAACTTTAGTTAATTAGTAATTGTGGGAACAATTATAGATCTTGTTAATTTACTTGGGGTCGTTTGATGTGCATACTTGTTATGTTGATATTACAGAAATTGTTTACTATAAATAATAATCAAACTATTGTTATATGATGAAATAATAAAAGGGATTGATATACATAATATTATTATTGCGTGAATTACTTATTTAGAGGTATTTATCTATAAATAGTTTAATATTTGTATTGATAATGCACTAATTCTTAATATACATTATATTCCGCATAAAATTAGTAAATAAGTACAAGCGTTATATATTTTTACAAGTCATGCTGTGAATAATTATGCTTGATAAGTTATACTAAATAAGTTGAGCTACATTAATTATTTGAGATTAGCTTTTATTGCTTTGTTTAGTTTGTCATGTTTAAACTTATATTCACCGTATAAGTTTTAACAAAAAATACCCTCCACCTTATTTAGTTTTTCTTTTACATTTTCTTTGTAAGCTTTAGTTATTCATTCTTAAAAATAAATTTTTCATTTTATTTTAGCTTAAATATATTTTTGTGTGCATTTCTATGATTGTGTCGTATGTTTTTAAAATTCAATTTTCATCTTGTTAAAACATCTTTCTTATCTAGTTTTAAAATAAATTTTTCATCTTATTTAGCTTAAAAATAGAACCTTCGTCTTACTTAGTTTAAGAATAAAACTCCCATCTTATTTAAATGAAACTTCCGTTTTAAGTTTATTAAAGTAAAAGAGATACTATTATTATTATTAAAATTTTATACATTATAATTGATTTAAATACAATATAAGTTTTAAGTGGTAATAAATAATTTAATAAAAAATATATATTTAGTAGTGGAGGCCTGGAAGGTACATTTTAAGAGAAATCAAAATATAAATAAAACAATAATTAGACAAGTAAATTCAACTTATAATATGTTAATAATAAAATTGTATTTATAAAATATAATTTTTTAACAAAAAAAACATATTATCATAAAAACAACGAATAATAGTGAATGTTATTATTAATGTAATTAGAAATTATGTTAATATAGATCACTTGAAAGTGGGATATAAAAGAAAGTGTTAAGAAGTGTTTTTTGTTAGGGAAAATGGTCTGATATACCTCTTAACTTTGTCATTTGGAGCTGATATAACCCTCTTTATAAAAGTGGCCCATATATGCCCTTACCGTTATACAAACGGCTCACATATACCCCTGCCGTTACAAAATGGCTCACATATACCCTTCATTTAACGGAAGTTAAAAAATTAGTTTTAAATTTATATTGATTACTTCTAATTTTTTTAAAAAATTATTTAGGGGTATATATGATTCTTCTTATCAAAGTTCAAGGTACATTTTAATTTTTTCATACATAAATTATTTTTTGACTTCTTTTATTATAATTATTTGAATTTCTTATTCTTATTTTTTTTTCATTCCTTAGTTTAAAGAATAAAAAATTAAACTATTTTTTTTGTGTGTATTGTAATTTAATTTCGTATTCGAAGAAAAAATTTGGTCATCTACAATAAGTTTTATAAGAATATTGTGAAACATAAATAAATTTGATTATCAAAATAATAATTATAAATTAGTCATTGAAACAAAAAAAAGGTCAAAAAAATATGTTTGACGAGGATTAAATTTACTCATATGTGATTATATTTTTAAAAAAAATAATAATAAAAATTTAGATTAAATTTTTTTTTTCATTTCCGTTATAGGAAAAGGGTATATATGAGTCATTTGTTTACAAGTAGAGGTATCTATGAACCACTTTCATAACAAGGGGTATATCAGCTCTAAATGACAAAGTTGAGGGGTATATCAAACCCTTTTCCCTTTTTGTTATTTTACCTACTTATAAATAATTGAGTAAATCAACAGATCCAATAAGATATTCTTATTATTTTTCACGTAATTTTGCTTTTGAATAAATTATTTTACAATTAGTATTTATTTACATGTCACCAAATCTATAATCCAAATTTCAAACTAATAGGGGATAATGGTAAATGAAAAAAATGATAGTAAAGAGAAAATATTTTTTCTTTTTTTTCTATGTGAAGAGAAAATATTGAAGTAATCGAATAAAATTTCATTGATAAATAACTTTAGATTAAAGATTAACTTGAAATTTCAAGATAATTAGTGAAATACAAAATTGATGCTAAATCATTAATTTGTTTGAAAGTTTGACACGAATTTTTTTATTTCATAATTTGTTTAGATGAAGAGGTAGAGTTTTACTAAATACACATATATAAAATTTAGATTTAGATTTGGTGAACAAAAAATCAAAAAGAAAAGGGACCATAGTAAATGAAAAAAGAGAGTCAAGGAAGGTATAAAAATTGCATTTATATTCATTTTAAATTTGCCAATTATATTTCTTTGAAAAAATTAACTAATTAATTAAAATTTCTAACGTAATTATCACAACACCTAACTTTAAAATAATCAATCAATATATATATATAAATGAGGATCATAGAGGAGCTGACGTGGCACCTCTCTATGGCCTCCATTTCAATTTCTTTTTTTCCTCCTTTTTTATTTTTTTTCATTTCTTTTCATTAAATAATTTGTTTATTAATTAAAAAATTCATTCATATTTATTATTCTAATTATACCTAATAAGTTACAACAAAACCTCCATCTATTTACATTCCCTACTTAAATAATATGTCTTTTCAACTTATTTTAACTATTCTTATGGTTTACACAAACTATAAATAACAACTATCTATGTTCAATGATCATTCTCATTTTCTCATTCTTTCTTTTTATTAGTATAGTTTTTTCTTCTTTACATTTTTTTCTTCATCTTTTTCATCAATTATGTACTTAATAAGTTCACCATATGATCTTCATATTGATAAAGATCATACATATATTCTTCAAGATTCATCAAATTGATGTTTGCATTAGTTTGGTACAAGTTTATGAAAATGAAGAAGGAGTCATAATTATTTCAAGATTTCATCAAGAAGATAGTCATATTAGTAAAAAAGTTTGAATGATTTCCAAATATTTTGAAGATTAATTCATTCATGTATTGTTTTGATTATATTTTTTAGTTAGATATATAATTTCATGTTATTCAACAAAAATTAAATTATGAAACTCTACTATTCAACCCATTAGAAAGCTCAATTAACATTATTTTCTTCATTTTACTTTGCTCTTTTTCTTATTATTATTATTATTTTATTATTATTATTATTATTATTATTATTATTATTATTATTATGAAGATGAAAAGTTATATAGTTTTATTTTTATGTAATTTTTTCGTCAAGTTCTAATTAATATTTTAATTTTTGTCACAGTTGAAAAATATAATATTGCACATGATACATTTCTTATAGCTATTGCATATCGATATCCCTAAAAAATATATGATGTAGTTTATCATATTAAAAAAAAGTCATAGACTAAACAAAAAATAAATTAATCATTTTTTAGTACTTTTAAAAAATTTAATGAATAAATAAATTATTTAATGAAAAGAATGAAGAAAATTTTTTCCCTTAATCACATTAATTATATTTAAAACTAAAAAGTATAATTTATTTAACTTCTCTTAATTATTGAAAATGAGAAACATAAAAAAAAGTGATGTGACATTTATCTTCTCTTTATTGACCTTTTTTCTTATCTAAATTAATTAATTTTTGTAAAAGTAATTTACTTAATTAATCAAAAATAATTTTTATTAATAGAAGAACATTTACAGTAAAAACTTTTCACATACTACTTTATTAGGAGTAAATAATAATCATCCATAACTCACATCTAATTTCAAATCCTAATAGATTAATTTTTCACTTTATTTTTTTTGACCTTCTTGTGATTATAATTTTAGAATAACAATTTTAAAAAAATATTTTAAGTTATTTTCTCTTTATTATTTACTTACAACCAATATATCTATTTACATATAAAGTTAGAATGTTAAAAATAAATAAGATGATGTGGTACATTTCTATCACCTTCGATCACATTTATCTTTTCTCTAAATTATTTAGCATGTTTTTTATTTTTCTTCACCAGTGTGATATTGTAAAATATATTTTCAAAATTTCCTCTTCAAATAATTACTTAATAGTATTATTTTGCATAATTAACATTTTTTTATATATGTAACTTTTATTTTTAATTGTTAATTAATAATATTAATGACTTCAAAATCTTTCATG